TAGTAAACACAAGGAACTGTTTAGAAACAAATACAAACATTTAAAACTGCTTTATCACTTGTCGCCAAGGTTACTAATGTAGCTAAACCTTAACAAATACTTCGTTATTATAGTAAACACAAGGAACTGTTTAGAAACAAATACAAACATTTAAAACTGCTTTATCACTTGTCGCCAAGGTTACTAATGTAGCTAAACCTTAACAAATACTTCGTTATTATAGTAAACACAAGGAACTGTTTAGAAACAAATACAAACATTTAAAACTGCTTTATCACTTGTCGCCAAGGTTACTAATGTAGCTAAACCTGAACAATACTTCGTTATTGCAATAAACATAAGGAACTGTTTAGAAACAAATACAAACTGTAAAAGTGAACATATCACGTAACTATTTTCTCAGAGATTCTGTAAAAGTGAACATATCACGTCCTATTGGTGATGTCGTCTCAATGTTCAAGGTTTAAAATGTCATCTTCTTCTACGTAATTGAGTCTTTTTTTAACAGGAACAGTCTTTCTTAATTGCAGCTGTTTATCTAAAAAATCCACTTCATAGTATATACTAGCTGGAGTACCCGTTCCTTGGACGGAAGTTATGTGAATTCATGGTTATTGAAAGGTTATCTTACGACATGAAAAGTTGCTTCACTTATATGTAATTTGAAATAACACCCATGAAAACTGCAAAACACAAAATGTCAAACCGCCAGTTTGCATGTATTTCCGCATGGACCCAACAAACCTTCGTGCCGAAGTCGGTGAAGATTCATCACCAGGGGGCGAAGTAATGGTAAAAAACGCCTTTAAAAACCACAAAACGCATAATGCAAAAGTGAAAGTTTGTATGTACCCCCCGCATGGAGCTAATGAACCTCTACACCCTGCGAAGTAGTTACATGGACATGCAACATACAGTACTATTATATTTATATAGAGTTTGTGTTCAACAACGTTTGCTACTAGTCGTATACATAAGTCTGGAAATGGTAAAACTATCTGTTGAAAGTTGAAGCTTTCAGATATTTCTAGAAAAAAGAAAACGCGAGTTTTGAAGTATGATAATCTCACTTAACAGTGAAGTCAACACGGAAATTGTCTATCCAGAAATCCCAGGTTTTGTTAGAAATTTAGAAGATACATTTTTACTTAGTGATCATTCATTAAACTTTGTAAATGACAAAGTAATATTAAATTTTTGTTTCTCAAGAGAACCTTGTGTTTACTATAATAACGAATTATTGTTCAGGTTTAGCTACATTAGTAACCTTGGCGACAACTTATAAAGCAGTTTTAAATGAATCTCTGAGAAAGTAGTTACGTGGTATGTTCACTTTTACAGAATCTCTGAGAAAACTACAGATATATAACACCACACAAGTTAATGTTTTTAAAGTTATTACAACAGATATATAACACCACAGAGGTTAATATGTTTTTAAACTTGTGACAAGAGATGTGTAGCAACGTAGACATGAGTGGGTTTATTTTGGAAAGATATATAGATCATATAATAATGCTTGGAGATGGCTTGAAAAACTTTAATATAAGTTCAACATAACAGCAAATGTTCAACGTTTCAACAAGGTTTTGACATCATCAGGTACGTTGTACATTTGCTGTTATGTTAAACATATATTAAAGTTTTTCTTCATTACCCATTCAAGCCGTCTCTAAGCATTATTAGTCTCGAAGTGGGTTCCTCGTCATCGAATATAGATGATATACAGAATAGATATATTTCAATATAGAGGTTGGAGGCTTTATTTGGGAGTTATAAGAAGATATATACAGCAAGATCCTAAAAATATTTTGCTACAGCTTTTCCCTCTCTCCTCTACCAAAGAAGTTTCTAATTGGCTATTTAACATTGAAGTCACGTGATTTATAGTGCACGTACGTACTTCCTGGTAGCCGTGACGATTTAATACTGGTTTAAACGAATCATAAACATTTAAATGACGTGTCAATGCTATTATAATACATGATTTGAGTGTCTGTGGCTGGATTTTGTGTCTCCTAAGCCTATTTATACTTCCGTCGAGTTTAAAGGCTTACTAAACCACTTGTTGACGACAGCAGTCAGGATGGAGACCCTGCTCTACTGTAACAGCCTCTCTCGCTCTTGGGGTGACACCGGAACTCTTAAGCGACATACGACTCTTGATTTGGATCAGTCCAGGCCTAGTAAGAAATCGAAAATATACACGCCTCTGACTTCACGCGACCTGAATATGTTGAAGCTGAGATCAGCAGAGCTAGAGCGGCTAGACATCGCCCACAATAGACTGACAGAGGAGCAAGAACAGCACGGTGGACGTTTGCTGGATGCTATGAATCAGCCGTATCAAACTATAGCTCTCAGCGCCGTCAACGTGCTGCCACAGACCGTGGATTCTAGCAGTGGTTCCTTTAACGTGCTATCGTGCCAGCTCCCTATCAAATGTGGCCCTGTCAAAGATGAGCCTCTAACCTTTCTCACGCAGTCTCCGTCAGTGTCCACCATCAACATGGAAAATCAGGAGGAGATGAAACTTCAGAGGAAACGACAACGAAACCGAATAGCGGCATCCAACTGTCGTCGTCGAAAACTGGAGCGAATTGCGTACCTGGAGAAGAAGGTTCGTCAGATGAAAGCGGAGAACGACGATTTCTTGTCTCTTGTGATGGGACTACGAGAACAAATGCGTGATCTAAAACAGCGGGCGATGGGACACGTGCAGAATGGCTGCCAAATCTAACACGGCGGGCGATTGGTCACGTGCAAAATGGCTGTCAAATTACATTCTAGGAATCTTCTCCGATATTTTAAGTGAGTGAAACTACTTTCTCAGAGATTCTGTAAAAGTGAACATATCACGTAACTACTTTCTAGGAGATTCTGTAAAAGTGAACATATCACGTAACTACTTTCTCAGAGATTCTGTAAAAGTGAACATACCACGTAACTACTTTCTAGGAGATTATGCAAAAGTGAACATATCACATAACTACTTTCTCAGAGATTCTGTAAAAGTGAACATATCACGTAACTACTTTCTCAGAGATTCTGTAAAAGTGAACATATCACGCAACTACTTTCTCAGAGATTCTGTAAAAGTGAACATACCACGTAACTACTTTCTCAGAGATTCTGTAAAAGTGAACATATCACGTAACTATTTTCTCAGAGATTCTGTAAAAGTGAACATATCACGTAACTATAATAACTTTAAAAACATATAACCTCTGTGGTGTTATATATCTGTTGTAATAACTTTAAAAACATTAACTTCTGTGTGTTATATATCTGTTGTAATAAGTTTAAAAACATTAACTTCTGTGGTGTTATATATCTGTTGTAATAACTTTAAAAACATATTAACTTCTGTGGTGTTATATATCTGTTGTAATAACTTTAAAAAACACATTAACTTCTATGGTGTTATATATCTGTTGTAATAACTTTAAAAACATATAACCTCTGTGGTGTTATATATCTGTTGTAATAACTTTAAAAACATTAA